TTATTTGCTGATGGTATTCTACATTGGAGACCCAAAAAACTCCACCAAAAGACTTCTTGACTTAATTGACACTTTTAGCAGAGTAGCTGGATACAAGGTCAACACCCCAAAATCAATAGCCTTCTTGTGTACAAATAACAAAGAAATTAGAAATTTGAGAAAGAAATTGGGGCAACAATTCCTTTCACAATAGCACCCAAAAAATGAAGTATCTGGGAATCAATCTAATAAAAGAAGCAAAAGACCTCTACACTGAAAACTACAGCACTCTGAAAAAAGAGATTGAGGAGGATTTAAGAAAATGGAAAGATGTCCCCTGTTCCTTGGTAGGAAGAATCAACATAGTGAAAACAGCCATACTACCAAAACTGCTATACAGATTCATTGCAATGCCAATTGAAATCCCAACACTATACTTCACAGAACTAGAAAGAAGAATCCAAAAATTCACTTGGAACCATTTGCAACAGACACATGGCAGTGGGTATAACAATTCCCAATTTGAAACTATACTACAAAGCCACTGTGATAAAAACAGCATGGCACTGGCAAAGAAATAGGCCTGAGGATCAGTGGAACAGGTTGGAAGACACAAAAACAACTCCAGATGCACTCAGCTACCTCATCTTTGACAAAGGAGCTGACAGTCCCCACTGGAGGAAAGATAGCCTCTTTAATAAATGGTGTTGGAAAAACTGGATTTCAACCTGCAAAAGATTAAAACTAGACCCTTATCTGTCACCATGCACTAAATTAAAATCCAAGTGGATTAAATATCTAAATATAAAAAACAAAAACACTAAACTTGCTGGAAGATAAGTTAAGCAGAACTCTGGAAGACATTGGCATAGGAAAAGACTTTATGAACAAATCCTCAGTAGCAAGAGAACTAGCAGAAAGAATCAACAACTCGTATCTCATCTTATTAAAAATCTTCTGCACTGCAAAAAAAAAATCAGCAGAACTAAGAGACAACCTACAATGTGGGAAAAAATGCTTACCAGCTGCTCCTCAGACAAAGGACTATTATCTAGAATATATAAAGAACACAAAACAATCAGCCCCCCAAATATAAAGATCTGATTCAAAAATTGGCATCTGAAATGAACAGACATTTCTCAGACAAAGAAGCAAAAGCAACAAGTAAATATATGAAAAAGTGCTCCACATCACTGGTCATCAAGAGATGAAGATGAAAACAACACTGAGATTTCACCTCACCCCACAAAGAATGGCTGCTATCAAGAAATCACAGAATAACAAATGTTGGCGCATTTGTGGGGAGAAAGGAACCCTTCTCCATTGTTGGTGGGAGTGCAGACTGGTGCAACCATTATGGAAGTCAATATGGAGATACCTCGAAGAACTGGGATTAGAGGTTCCATTTGACCCAGCCATCCCTCTGCTGGGTATCTTTCCAAAAGAAGTAAAAGACATACCACAGTGATATAAGCACACTCATGTTTATAGCAGCACAGTTTGTATTAGCTTAAACTTGGAAACAGCCCATCTGCCCATCAATTGGAAAGTGGATAAAGAAGATGTGGTTTTTCTATAAAATGGAATACTACTCAGCCATAAAGAATGAGAAAGTAGATTCAATGTTAGGTAAATGGGTACATTTTGAGGATATACTTCTAAGTGAAATAAATAAGGCACACATATGCAAATACCAAATAGTTTCTCTGGTGTGAAAAACTAAAATAGTGCTCAAGATACTAATGGGACAATTAGCAAATAGGAAGAAAAGGAACAAAGGTGTAGGGACAGTGAGAAGGACAGGGAAGGGGGAATAAGGGAAAAAGAAAAAAATATGAGAAAATGTAAAAATGGAATTAAAGTGTTTGAAGGGGGGAGGGGAGGAGAGGGTGAAGGGAGGGTGGGGACAAGGGGAAAAAATGAGAACCAAGACCTGACATGTAAAGGTAAAAGATCCTAGTAATGAATGTAGCTGTACTGTCTACCTAGCATGTACCAATAAATTAAATTTTAAAAAATATGTGGGTGTGGGAGCATTGGGTCCAATCAAAGCCTCAATTACTTTATTAGTGTGCACTTCTACAAAGGCCCCTTGACAATTGGTGAGGTATATGGAACTGCAACCTCTCTGGAAACTTATGATATGAATAAGTCTCCTTTCCATGCTGTGTGTAGCCAAAGCATGACACTGGAGACCTTAAAGGCTTATTATGCTCCTAACAGCACTTGGTGAGCTTGTACCTAGGGGCTCTTGTCACAAGAAGGATTATGTGCTGCTCTAGGAGAGCCATGTTGTTTCTATGCGAACAAGTCTGCGGTAATCCATGATACCCTTCAAAGGGTCAAGGAAAATCTAGATAGGTGTCAGAAGGAGAGGGAAAGTAAAAACTCATGGTATCATATTCTGTTCAGTTGGAGCCCTTGGGAAACTACCCTCATCACCAGACTGGCTGTTCCCTTCAACCTGCTTTTTCCTGGACTCTTGATTGGCCCTGTATTCTTAGATGGATAATCAACTTTGTAAAGCAGTGCATAACCTCTGTTAAACTACTGTATATGAAATCCTACTTCAATTCCTTGTATAACCCCCTGCCCAATCAAGAGGCTCTCACTGAGTCAACACTTTGACATTGTGCTTAGAGAAGTTGGGAATGTGAGAGCCAACCCGACTCCCTGTGCTTGGTCAAAGTGCCTGTGCTTGAAAAAAGCACTCCAAGCCAATATCCTGTTTGGCCATAAACTTGCTGGAGTTGCAAGATTTTTTGTAGCTTAACCTAGTGAGTGGGAAACTTCCTTGTGCCCCCACTAACCTGGCATGGTTCTGCTTCTGTAAGATTCTGCTTGCTCTTCCCTGAGCACTCCCCACCTGAAAACATTATTTAAAAGGAGAAATCAAGCCACTTCCCATTGCTGAAGGAAATTTTTGGGCGCTAGCCCCTCCTCAGCCACTGGCTATAATAAATGGGCTCAAATCCATCAATCTATTGTTCTAACTCACTCATCCACAACACTAGAGCACCTCTGAAGAATCAGAAGCAGCAGCATCCTTCCTCATATCCCCTTTTGTACCATCCAGGCAACCGGTGGCTCAGGGGTGGGTCTTCCATACCCTGGGTGTAGAATTGCTGAGCTGATTTAGTTAAGCTTCTCTTAACTAAACTTCTCAAGTTGACACAATCAATCAACCATCACTACAACAAAGAGGATCATAATGTCAATATGTAACCAGGCTCTGTGAATTGCATCATCAATAAACTCTTTGGGCTGTTAAAGCCACTGGCAGCAACTTGTCACCCAGTGGTAATTGTGACACCATCTAAAGTGTGATACAGTGCATTCTCTCTTCTGCCTCTTCTGCTCTGTATTACTTCTTACAACTGCACATGAAGCTCTCAAAACAAGAGGTAGAATAAAAGTCTTCCCCATTCTACTTCTCAAGTAAATTCTATTAACTTCTTGGTGTGTTTGTATAAAAAAAGAAAAAGTAAGCAGCGTAGCACAGAATAGGTACAATTTAAGAAATGAATTCATAAAATAGAGGAGATGCTGGATGAATCCAGAATTAGAAGAGTGGCAGAAAAGAAATTTGTTAATATAATTTAATAGCTTTTGAGGGTAACTATGAGGTGTGTTCAAAATATATGGTGAGTGTTTGAATAAATTTATTATATAGTAAGACACATTACCATCACCCCTGCCCAGATACTCGCCTCACTTTGAACATGCACATCCCTTTGTTCTCACCACTTTCTGAAGCAGCTCTGGAGTGCTCTTTCATGAGTGTCTTTTCCAGGTGTGATGAAAGACTTGGCAGAACTTAGTGGCTGACCAACTCTGGGCTGCCAAGTTCCACCAACAAAAAGGCAGACTTGCAAACTCTGTAACTGTAAAATTTCCCAAACAGAACATCTGAATAGCTACTGAATATGTGAAGTGTTAGCACTCCTTAGCCATTAGTGAAATGTATATTAAACCCAAGAAAGTACCAGCATATATAACCAAAATTAAATTTTGGCATCATGTAGAAAATATTAACATGTCTACTCTATTAGCAAGCAATTCCATGCCTAGAAATTTGCATCAGGGTTTCATTTCCTGTACACTGAGAGTCTTGTGAGGATGTCATAATAGCATTATTTTAGAAGTTGGTAACTGAAAACAACACACATGTCCCTCAAGATGTTATCTTCATAAGTTACAATGCTGTGCCATGAAAATATCGAGGAACTCTTGTTACACACAGTCAAGTGGATTTATCTCACATAGGAGATAAATTTGCCAGCAGAACTAAAAACAAAGGCAAATGGTGTGATGTTACTCACAGAAACATCCCAGCAGATGGCAGCAACTGTGCTCAAGGTTTGGTGAAGGGTTGGTAAGGGAGGGAAATGGAGAGTGGCTGCACAGAGGGCACTGTGGGGTTCAGAATCTTTTTCTTAATTTGAGTGGTGGTGAACCCCTTGGGTTGTGCATTTGTGACTTTGGGATTTGACCACACATATGTAATCACCACCATACTTACCTCAGACTCATTCCTTCATGAGAGAGGCACTGTTTGTCAGGTCCAGCTGCTGACAGGCAACTCACTATGGGGAACACTTGGCCATATAGTTAAACTGTTATTTTAAACAGATATCTTTGGCTGTATTGTAGAATGTGAGCTGAAAGAGAGAAAAGTGGAGCCAGGAGGCCCTTTCAGTTGACACAAATGGCTGCAGAAAAGACCAGCCTTGCACCTGGGTGGGTGAAGAGGATTGGCATGTCAATGCTATTAAGAGGTTTTTATTTTATTTTTCAAAAGTGAATAAAAAATATACACCAAGCACAAATATCTATTTTCTTTCATAAAGAAGACTGCTTTGAGTGCCAACAAAGGTAAATTATACATACGCTATGTTCTGGCAACAGAAAGTGATTTAGGTCCTGCTTCATCTTTGGACTATTAGTTTTCAGGAGGAGAGAACATGATTTACTCCTCTTAGTAAATATCTGGTGCATAATATGTTTTCAAAAAGGGTTGCATGGATGGAGAGAGTGTGAGAGGCCTTTCTCCAGAGTCCCTCACAGGACAGGCCGTCTCTGTCTCAGCCTCTGCAGGGTATCCTTCACGTCCTTGTTCCGCAGACTGTAGATGAGGGGTTGAGCATTGGGATGACCGCGGTGTAGAAGATGGAGATGATATTGCGCTGCTCCATTGACTCCACTGCCCCTGGCTGTGCATACATGACAAGGAGGGTTCCATAAAAGAGGGACACAGCAGTGAGGTGGGAACCACAGGTAGAGAAGAACTTGTATCCCCTGGATCCTGAATGCATCTTGAGGATAGTCACTGTGATGTAGCCATAGGAGATGAGGACCACACGAGTGGTGCCCACAACAATGAGCCCACAGACGACAAACATGACCAGCTCATTGACAGCAGAGTCAGCACAGGCTATCTGTAGCAGGGGTGGTACATCACAGAAGAAGTGGTTGATGTGACTGGAGCTGCAGAAGGGGAGCTGGAAGGTGAGGCTGGTTTGCAGCATGGAGTTGAGGCAGCCATCACAGTAGGTGCCAAGGACAAGCTGGGTACATTTGCCAGGTTGCATGGTCACAGAGTACCGTAGGGGGCTGCAGATGGCCATGAAGCAGTCATAGGCCATTACCACCAGTAGGAAGCCCTCAGTGGTAACCACTAAAGAGAAGAAAAAGAACTGGGTTGCATAGCTTTCAAAGCTGATGACCTTGGAGGAGGAGAAGTTGGCCAGGGCATTGGGTGCAATGACAGAGGAGTAGCAGAGGTCCAGGAAGGACAGGTTCTTGAGGAAGAAGTACATGGCAAAGTGCAGGTGGGCATCCAGGGTGATGACTGTGATCATGGTGACATTACCCATGATGGTCACCATGTACAGGGCCAGGAAGATGGCAAAGAGGAGGGCCTTGGTCTACACACCTCAAGATCTCTCCAGCACAAATTCCTGCAAGAGCTGGGCTGGGAGGTTCCCGTGTCTGTGGGTTGTCATGGTCCCAAGCCAGGACAGCTTTGCAGAGGACAGTGGAGGCACTGAGAGGGAGAAGGGCACAGTCCCACGGTCACCTGACTCATTGGACATGGCAGCCAACTAGTGTCATTCTGCCCATTGACATAGATGATGCCAGCTGCCCAATTTGCCTTCCAGATGCAGTATCCTGGCCTGAAAAGAGACACCATCTCTCACTTAATCATAACTAGGTGCTGAACCTTCCCCATGCAGGAGCCAGGCTGTGCTTCTGGGCATGCAGGAGGTGTGCAAAATGGAGTGATTCTCAGTGCAAGCTACACATTAGAGTGACCCCTACCTGCCTGTGGCATCCCCAGTGGGTGCCCCTGAGCAGTCCCATTTCAACACCTGGTCCTGTTCATGGCCTCACCAGCCCAGGCCACATCTCTCCCCCTAACTGAGATGAAGGTCAGCAGAACCTTTTGCCCACCAGGCTATGGCTGGGAGGTCACTCCACCTCCAGGGTAAGCATAGACCAGGGCCAGCCTTCCTGGGCTGTGGTGGAGCCTCTGTCTGCCTCCCCCAGAAGACCCTCAGTCACACTTCTGTATCTCTGACTCTGACCCTGGACCATGCTGACACTCGGTCTGCCAAACTCTGCTTCCTTGAGGCTATCAAAGGCTTCCTGCCCATGTCCAGAGGGGGCCATATTCAGGGCAGGACATCTTGGCCCCATGGGCTGAGATTCAGCAGGGTGGTGACCCTGAAACAGAAGAGAGGCTCACCACTCCCAAGCCTTTGTCACTGCTGGTTATGACCCCTGCTTCCCTCAGGTTGAGGCTTTAGTTGGGAACTGCTCTTTCTAATTTGAAAACCAAGCTTCACTGGCCCCTGCCCACTGCCACATGGCCATTCCTGATCATTTTCTTTTCTCCTTCCCAGTTTTTGTCACTCACCACCAACACAACAGTGTCCTGCACAGGGCTGGTCTGTCACTGAGCTGGTCATCGGGAAGGAGTCCTGATGTCACTATGGGGTCTGTTCTGCAACCTCTCATAGGGCCTCAGGGGACCTTGGGCTGGGTGAACCTAGCTGCTGCTCCCCATGACCTCTGCAGAGCCCAGCCTCACAGAGCAGGGATGTGGGCTCAAAGGGTTCAGATGAAGTGGTTCTGTGCTCCTATGCTTGGCAAGTTCTCTTAACAAATGTGCTGGTAATTACAGCAAAGGTCATAGAGCTCTTCTTCCTGATAAGCTGAAACACATAGCATGTCGTCACCAAGGTCCCCAAGGTGTGTCGATTCACTTCGTAAGAGGGAACAGCTAAGTAACATCTGCAGCTGGCTGAGGATGCAGGCACGTCCTCTGGCACCAGTGGCTGAGTAGCTGGCTGTGGGATGAGGCAGATGCTGTGCTGCTGGGGAGCTGGCAGAAAAGCAGGTGCTGCAGCCCAGGTACCTGTGATATTGAACTTGCATGTTACAAGGTTCCCCCCAGATTCTCTCAAGAAGAGGGTCACAGGCACTGCTCTCATTGACCCAGCACTAGCCAGAGCTGGGCAGCATGGAAGGGAGGTCATCACCCCATCTCCTAGAGCAATCCCCGAGCACTTTCTGTGCACACAGACTTGATGCCTCCCTATGTTAATGGTCCTCTCTACTCCTGGTGGCTTCACAATGACCATACCATCTCCAGGTGAGAGCTAGGAATTACCCAAGGCCATATAGCCAGCATCCAGGTTCCCAGGTTCCCTGCTCTTGAGACTGATCTGTGCTGAGGATGATGAGGTGGACACAAGGGCCTGCAGCTCCTCCACAGTTCAGCTCTGGATCCTGTACAGTGGCGTGTGAATGGGGATGGGGACAGGTGGACACCTGGGTTCTGTGAGACTAGATGCACAGATTGTCCTGCACCAGTCTTCTGGGTCTTTGTGAGAAGAGAAGGATGGGTCCTTTCCCCTGGCCTGCTCTCCAGTCCCTGTCAGTCTGGCAGCATGTGGAGCACCCTGCCTTTCAGGTCCCGCTGCTAGGGAGAATTCTCTGCACCTACTGTAGCTGTGCTGATATTAGGAGCCTCCAATGGCCAATTAGGAGGCTCTAGGCTTCTGCAGCCTACTGGGACTTCAGCTCCAGGGCCCTAGAAACCAAGGCACTGTTTCTGATCTTTGTGTCATCATCATGCCCTCCTGCTGGGGTTGGAAGGAGGCTCGAATAGCTCAGGCATCCCTGGAAGGACTGTGATGAGCACAGCAAGGACAACTCAGAGGGAGCCTGTGTCCTATGTCCCTCATTGGAGGGGGTCACACCACAGTGGGGTGTAAGTGAGACTTCCTAGCGCACAGCCCTTCCACCCCAGTGCTCCATCACAACCATGTTGTATAAGGAAGATATTTTCACACCTAAGAGATAGGGTGTCTAATTCTAAAGAACACCTCTTTACCTCCTATAGCTAGGCTGAACATCTTTTTATATCTTTTTTGGTCATTGACATTTCTATTTCTGGGAGTTGTATCCTCACTGACGCTTATGTTCTCAACTCCAGCTGTGAGAGTTTCTGGATGTTCTGAGCTCCACGTGTATTAAATAAAGGGAAGCTGACCTCAGGGGAGCCTCCTGCCCCAGACAGTGCCCCAGGGCTCTGCGAAGGTCAATCAAGGAATCTCAGTCTCCAGCAACCTCAGCAATTTGGGATCATGGACATGTTCCTTTTTTGCCTTCAAAGGATGCCGCCTTTGATTCAGCCCAGGGCTTTAGTGCCCATCAGCAATTCCTCTTTCTGTGTTGTTCAGTGACCATGAGCTCTCAGAGTATTCTCATGGATAGAGACACTGAATTCATAATTTCATCTCAGTGAAGAGGCATTTAACCTTATGTTTCTACCAGTGACCTGATCCTCTTGCTGTTCAGCTCAGGCAGGAATCTGGGCACATGTGGTCTGAGTTTTTCTCCACGCAGCAGTGTTCCTGCTTCCCATCTGTTTCTCCTTTTAGCTCTGCTCTTTTGCCTGCTCATTGCTCTGTTGTATTCACATTCATTAGCTCTTTATGTATAACAAACACTTCATAGTTTGGGGTGTTTCAAGTCTATTTTCTAGTCCTTCATTTTCACTGAACTTTGGAAGGACACGTTTTTCTCTTAACTATTTGACTGATCTCTGAGACCTTCCTTGGTGACTTCTGGGTTGGGGGCAGCCTTCCACCCACACTATGAAAAGAGATACAACACAACTAATGAATTAGAACCCCTTCTGCATTCTCTTTCCACGCCGTTGCATACTTACTGTTCATTTCAACAATTACATGAGCAAAACGTGTTGCATTAGTCAGCTTTCTGATTGTGGGGACAAAATAAGCACTGCTCAAAACTTAAAGGAAGAGGCTTATTTTGGCTTACAGTCTCAGTGGGTTTAGTCTGTAGTCAGCCAGCTTCCAGACAGAAGTGGCATGATGAAAGGGCATGGTGGAGGAAAGCTGTTTATGTCATGGCTGCCAGAAAGCAGAAACTGAGAGGAGAAGGAAGGACAATAGCACACCCTTCCAGGTCACAGCCCAGTGACCTACCTCTTCCCAGATGTTTTCTTTGGCCTTTCTGTGACATACTTCACTGCCCCAGCACAGTTAGGCTGAGGACAAAATACTCCATCTACCATGCATATTCTGGAATAACATATTTTAATTTGCACCTTGTACTGTGCCCAGTTTGAAAGTGAAATGGAAGCCCAGTGCATTGATGTGGCACTGAAAGAGTTGGTGCACCTTTCTGTTTCAGCATGTGAGTTTCACACCATTTCTTGTAGAATTCCATTGGAAGGAAGCATCATTATCCATTTAATTCTTTGGATGTTATTATCAGATATTTGGGTGGTGCCCTTATTTAATCATAAAGGATTCCATTATATGTATTTGCCTATATTTTCATGTAGTTTCTCTTATAGACTTTGTGTTTTCAGAGCAGTGTTTTTATAGAAAAATTGAGTTCAAAGTAGAGTTCTCATATACCCCCCTCCACACATAGAAATTCTTCACTTTATCAACATTCCGCACAAGGGCAGCACCTTTGTTAAAAATGAATTCCCCACAATGATACATTGTAATCACCTAAAGTCCCTGGTTTACATTAAGATTCAACTTGGATGTTACATGTTCTGTGGGTTTGAACAAATATATACTAACCTGTACCAACAATTTTTAGTATCATACAGAATAGTTCTGCTTAGGTAAAGAAATTTCTGCATGGTTATCTTTTCATTTGTGTCTTCTTCAATTTTGCTCAAGAATATTTTATAGTTATTAGTGGACATATTTTTACCACCTTATTTGCATTTATTTCCAGATATTTTCCTTCTTTCTAGTGCATATTAACTATACAGAATATTGGGTTTGTTCACGACATCTTCACACACGCGTCTAATATCTTTGCTTCCCTTCTACTTTCATGTCATCTTCTTATTTGCTCTCTGACTCTGTCTCTCTGTATCCCTCCCCTTTTCTCTTCTCCCCGCTCTGTTCCACACAGAAGAAAAAACATGTAATGCCTCTCCACCTGTATCTGATTTATTTAACTTAACATGATGTTATCCAATTCTATTTTCCAAAATCAACATAATTTCATTCTTCTATGTCTGAGTAACACTCCTTTGTGTACCTATACTGGGTTTTCCTTATCCATTCATCTGTCATAGGGTAGCCAAGCTCTTCTCATGACTTGGTATTGGGAATTGTGGCAGAGTAAACAGATACGAGATACGTAGGTATATCTGTAGCATACTGACTTTCGTTCCTTCAGGTTTATACCAAGGAGTCCTATAGCTGGAGCAAATGATAATTCTATTTTTAATTTTTCCAGGAAATCTATACTTTGCTCCATAGTTACTGTACACCCCCTTCACAACAGTGTGTAAATTTGCATTTCCCCCTGCTTCTTTATCGGTCTTTGTCATTTTTGTTTTATTGACAGTTGCCATTCTTACTGAGGTGAAATGGAATCTATGTAGTTTTGACTTGCATTTCATTGGTGCCCAAAGATGCTGAACATTCGTCACATAATTGTTAGCCACTTGGACTTCTTCTAATACGTATCAGCTCAGCTGATCTGCCACATATTGATTAGATTGCTTGTTCTTTGGTGGTGTTTTTTATTTATATATTCTGGATATTAATCATCTGTCAGATGAATAGCTTGCAAAGACTTACTCTCATTCTGTAGATTGTCTTTTTACTCCATTGGCTGTTTCCTTGGCTATGTAAAACCTTTTTAATTTGATGCAATACCTTTGTCAGTCCTTGCCGTTATTTTCTATTTGAGTCCTGTTCAGAAAATGGTTGCCAGGTCTATACAGGGTGTTGAAAGTTTCAGTCCTATATTTAAGGTTTTGATCCACTTAGAGTTGACTTTTTAAAAGGGTAAGCCATGGGGAAATTATTTCAATCCTCCACAAGAAGGTATTCAACTTTCCCTGTACCATGTGCTAAAGGCGCTGACTTCTACCCAGCATGTTTTCAGTACCTTTTGTCAAGAATCAGATGGCCAGAGCTATGTAAGATTGTTTATGGATTTTCTTCTCTCTCCCATTCATTTACATTTCTATTTATATGCCAATATCATGCTGTTTTTGGCTCTGGAATACATTTTGAAATTGGGAATTATGGTTCTGCTAGCATTGCTTCTTTTGCTCATAGGATTGCTTTGGCTTTCGGGATCTTTTGTTTGTAATTTCTTACTTTTTTCTCTTTATTACTGCCTGAATATAATAGTTCACCAAATTTATCTTCAAGGCCTAACATTCTATCATCACCTCTACTTTATATATTGGTGAAGCTTTCTACTAAGCTTTTTATTTGACTTATTCAGTTTTTTAATATTAAATGAGTCACTTTTAATATATTATATTAATTACTCATCAATTTTTGCTATTATGTATTAATTCTGTTTGGCTCTTTTTTTTGTATCAGGGATTGAACTTGGAACCTTGTGCTTTGTGAGGTAGGTGGCAGAACCACTGAGCTAAATCCCTGGCCCCA